GAGTTTGTAGCATTTTCAGCTGCAGTGCAAGAAGCCGTTTGGTTGAGACGGTTCATGAATCATCTAGGTATAATTAATGTTGCTATTGAACCAGTAAGAGTAAACTGTGATAGTCAAGCAGCAATAGCATACACTAAGGATCCCAAATATCATGGTAAAACAAAACACATAGATATCAAATAAAATTTTGTGCGAGACTTGGTGGCACAAAAAGAGGTGAACATGAAGTACATATCTACGCATGACATGGTTGCGGATCCATTTACAAAGCCTATACCAAGAGATACTTTCAATAGACATGTTAGATCTCTAAGCTTACGTAGATGTTGAATGTACTTATACTTTGAGATTTCCCAAAATTGTTCACGTTTGTCTTATCAATATTAAATAGCAATATTGTCAATGCTCAATTTCAGTTATTATGGAACATACATGAAGGAGTATATATATATATGTAAATATTATATATGTTTATTTTGAAAAGCGTGTTGGACAGTTAAAAGATTGGCCTTCTCACACAGGCAATCGCTTCTATTACTTCGTAGGAATGGAGATGAGACGAATTTAAGCTTATTATCTAGGTGATAATAGAGAGCCAAGCTTAAAATATTTAACGTCGCCTAAAAAATAATGTCATAATGAAATATGACCATAAGTGATAAATGATCATTTTATGTCTAATTGCCAGATTAGAGTTATGATGAATTAAAAGTATGTAAAGTGAACTCAAGTTAGACATTAGGTATGTCTTAGGGTCTCATACTCTTAGACATTGTGTGAGACCCTGAGATTTTAAGAATAAAATCTCATAAAATACCCTTGTTACTCTATTCTATTTCTTGAAAACCTTATTTAATGATTGCTATCTTAGAGTGTTGCCAAAAGATTAAGATAAATTTAATCTGTTGGGACATTTCTAGAAAAGCAAGTTAAATGAAAGTTGCAAGAATCAAGAAAAGAGGAAGATTACAATTTTGGATTATCACACTATAATCATGTGTATTCATTGGTCGACCAATTATGTTTTACTTTTATGTAAAAAAAAAACATAATTATGAATGCAATTGATGTTTATTATAAATGAGATTGTTAGAAAAAAGATGTGATAAGTAATCTAGGGTATTGCATACAACATACAACCTAAATTTCACAATTTGAGAAATTATATATTCCTAACAGATATATGACTAATATGCTCTCGAAGTATGCATGGTCACAGGGTATATTTACTAAAGATGAACCTTGAAGAAGCACATAGAGAAATAGTCTCATCATGTGTGAGTGGAAGATATTAGATATGGGTGGGACACCTATGATGGGACCCACCCAAACGACGTTTCAAGTGGAAACTGCCAAAGACAGTTTTCACCTAAAAAAAACTGCTTGGCAACTGTCGCCCATATATAAGTGAAGTTTTTTCTTTTAGAAAGGTTCTTCACTCTCTCTCTAAAATATTTGTTAAAGAAAAATACACTACGGTGGTTTTCTCTCAAGATTCAATTTTTTTTTGCTTCAGAGTTAAAGGAGAAGATGTATTTATACTATGAACTTCATTGTAATTCGTTTATGTAAAATGTGATTGCAATGGGTGACTATTAACATGATCTTGGGATTAATTAGAATATTTGTTATTCTGACTTTTTCCAACAAATACTAACAATGTTCGCCTTTAAAACATCAAATTTGTGTTTAGCCACTAAGCATTCTCCCTGTTACCACCTTTCGATCTATCCAATGGTGTCAATGGTGTTTTTGGTAGCGCCTCCAACACTCTCGCCAACGACCGATAACATGTGGGTTAGTTTTGAAATCAATGTTGAAAAGAAGTTATATTTTGAAAAAAAAAAAAAAAATTGTAAAAAGGTTTTGAGGCAGTGCAGACTAAACCCATGGTGGATAGGGGCTTAATTTGGAGTAAAACCAATTACCTCCCTTAAACTTTCCAAAATTCATTAGGTCCAAACAAATGGCATATTACACAAATACCTCTCCTGTCGTCAATATTCTCCGTTAAACAACGGTTAACAATGGTTCAAAGGGTAAAGAGGTCATTGCATACTAAAACTAATGTTGAAGTCAAAAAAAGGAAAACATTTTATCATATTTAAAGAATTATTGATCACACCATAAACCTAAGGGATTTCTCTAATGTCAAAGGCGCTACTATTCAGTGCAATTTCTTGATCTAGTGCTCAAGTATGGAAGAGAATTAAGAAAGTAAGTGCATGGAAAGGAATAATATTTGGAAAATGAAGAATAAAGATAAGCTGAGCTAATTGATTTGACACCATGTTAGGTTGTTCAAAGAAAGCGTTTCGTGGGTTCAAGGGCATTTTAGTCATTATATTGGCCAAACTTGTTTTTTTTGTCAATTTCAACAGCCGAAACTTATGGCAGGAGAAGTTCATGTGTAATATGCCATTTGTTTGGACCTAATTATATTTCGTAAAGTTGAAGGGAGGTAATTGGTTTTACGCCGCTTGATTTTTCTAAAATAGTCCCGAGAAATTAAATTTTAATGCAGTCCCCTTCCCCAGAAAACAAACCAGACTAAATTTTAAAAAATAACTGTAGCAACATTGTTTACCTCACTGCAAAACAAACTCACCCTATGCATATACAATGATAAATAATCTCTTTAATTCAATGACATTATAGTCCAACAGTCCATACATTATACCCTACCTAACTTACTCTTAAGAAGCATTTGGTTTAGGAAATATTGTATTACTTGGAATATTATATTAATAGAAAGATTGATAACCTTAAAGATTATTGAGAATTTTATTAAAAATATGTTTGGTTAGATAAGATTAAATTGGTGAGTATATTATATTGATATGTTTGGTTAGGAGGAATTAATTCATGAGTATGTTATATTTTAGGGTTAGATTACTAAATTGTCCTTGTATTATAATATTATTATTGATTTATTTTTTATTATTTAACCCCAACATTTCACATTTAGCTAAAACACCCCAACAATAAAAAAATTTAAAACTTAACAAAAACACCCCAACCACCTTCCCAAGAGTACTGACACAGTCGGTCGGTTGTCCTCTTGGGTGGCTGGAGTTGGTTGTGGTCTTGGGTAATTTGGTTGAAGTACAAGGGTAATTATCTCTTAAAAATCTTGAGTATAAGGCTAAAATTGTCCATAAATTTATTTTAAATTGTTTAGATAACAAGGACATTTTTATTCTAAAATTTTATTAATAAGGGATAAAATTGTAACAAAAATAAGATTACCAAATAATCTCAAAATATCAAAGAAAATGGTAGTATTCAGATTATCACCTATATAACCAATAAGGATTACTATTAGTTTTGGAAGATTATCCAAATCTTATATTACTTGACAATTAAACATAATAATATAGTAATATAAGATAACATTACCTGATTCATGAAAGACAACCCTTAACCAAATAGCCTTTTAAGGCACCAAGTTATAGATTGCACCTGTTAAAAATAATAATAATAATTGTACTTGCACAGGTAGCATATTTTATATGATAATATATTTTATGAGTAATATTACACCAACAATCTCTTTTCATAATTCTAACGTAACAATTTGTAATTGGTTAGCTATAATTTATCAAATGAGAGTCGAACTGATCAATTGCTAGCTGTCACCTAAGATTATGAGAGAAAATTTGTAAAAAAAAAATTATAGACTTAGTATTCCTCATATTTTATTGATGGGATAATGCAACCATGCAAGTTGCATAATTCTTTCGCACACGTGCTTTTTGCCTTGCTTAATTATATATGATATATTCACATTACCTGCAAGAAATTGTTAGTACAGTCCATTTTCTTATTAAAACAAGTTGAATACTTGAATGGACCATCTACCTTGCGACGTTGCTGCGCTATCTCTTCTCGTTTTCCTTATTTTATTTATTCTTTTCAAGTTTAGTTCATTGATTTAGATGCTGCCATGTTTCCTTTTTAGTAAATTTCTACTAAGTATAGGTTAAACATATTTTTTTTATTATTATTTAGCTCGGATTTTCATGAAAATTAATAAGTATATTTCATGGTTAAAATTTATTTAACATATTAAATTTACTGCAATAAATATAGTTAATATCCCCATAAGATCTGTCCAAGTGTTTTTTTTTTTTTTTTTTTTGGTATATTATAGGTGTGTTTGGACAAATTTGTGCGTATCTTGATTATTCTCTTAAAACCTTAAAATTAATAGTTAGATAAATTTTTAGTGATTATAGTCGTGAATTCGAACCCCTAAACTTTGAATAATAAATTTTATATAATAAACATGTATAACATGCTGAACAAATTTGACAATGACAAATATTGGAGAGATAGAACGCATCTACCTTTCCCTGAATTTATTTGTGACAAGTCTAAACGAATCCATGTGAAATACGGCAGCCAGAAGATGAAATGAATGTGCTTGATTTTATATGGACACAACCATTTATTTTACTCCAGAGAAGCTACAGGATATTTCCTTATTCTGATCAAATTTGTTGAGCTGGAAACTGTTCAAAATAATTTGCAGAATTATATGTCAGTTATCTCATCATATTTATAATTAATTATTATCTAAATATATATTACTAGTTTTTTTTTTTTTTTTTTAATGAAATCTTCTACCGTCTGCTATATCGAAACTTCTTTGAATTATTAATATTAACTCTGATTGTGTAATTAGGTGTAAATACTTGAAATTGCATTGAATAAATAATTAAAAAATATTTGATTTATTATGTAAAAAACATTTTTCCTTTTTTATTTAAATAGATATAAATTAATTGAAAAACTGGATTATTCATAGGCAGCATATCCTCTCTTTAACCTTTAAGCTTTAACTTTGTACGTTTCTTTTTCTTTTGTTCCTAAGAATTAATTATTTTATTGAAGTAATAGATAGCTTGTTTTGTAATTGAAATTACAACGGAGCCCCAGTGGCCAGTTGGCCACGTACATAAACATAGTATGAAGCAGTCCAAGGGCAACATTTTTTTCCATAGCTTGACTCTCCTGAACAAGAAACAGAAATTGGTAACCACCGTCTCTCACAGCATAGCGCTCTCTCTGTTAGTGGAGAGTCCCTTTCGAATACCTCTTCCTTACCTGCAAGATGGGGCCGACAACTAATACTTGTATTACTCCCACAACACCAATATACTTTTATCTCTCCCTAAAATTCTCTTCATACCCATAACACTCTTTTTTCTGATTTTTTTCTACCTTTTCTTCTCTCCTGTAAAACCCAATTCAAAGGAGAAAACGACCATGGAACTTTTTCTTGAACTTGTCTTCACTGTTGCTATTTCTCTTTTTTTCTCTTTTTTGCTCGCCAAGTTTCTTTCAGGGTCTTCTTCTTTTCGTTCGGCTTACACTGATGACTTGGTCAGTGGAGAGCGTAAATTCCAAGCTAAGCTGAAAAGGAAGGGTTTTGAATGTGAGAGAAGAACTGGCTTTGTTAAAAAAGTTGTGAAAGTTGCTGATTTGGGTGAGTCGAGGCAAGAGAAGTTAGTACCTGAAGAGATCTTGAAGGATGGTTGCGGATCATGTGATGATGTCAAGATTGATGAAAATAAAGTTTTGAGAGAAGTGGAGGTTGAAATTGTTGAAGAAATTGATGATGGTGTTTGTGAATGTGAAGAGAATTTGGCGGTGGGAAGTGTTGAGAGTGAAAAAATTGCCAACTTTGAGACAGATTTAACTAAAGATGATGTTTTGGAGAGTGAGAAAGATTTAACTAAAGATGAAATTTTGGAGAGTGAGAAAGCTTTAACCAAAGATGAAGTTTTAAAGGGTGAAAACTTGACGGAAGAAGCGGATGATGGCAGAGGTTGTTTGTCTGAATGTGAAGAGATCGTTGTAAATAAAATTGGTGAGAATGAAAAAATTACAGAAATTGAAACAGAATTTAATAAACATGAAGATGGCGTGGCCAAAAGTGGAGAGACTGAAATTTTAAAGGGTGAAAGTGATAATGAGATAATAGAAGCAGACCAAGATGGCGTTAAGGAGGTGTTGTTTGACGAGGAGGATGATTGGGAAGGAATAGAGACAACTGAGTTAGAGAGGCTTTTTGGTGTTGCGGTGGCATTTGTTGGGAATAAGAGTAATGCTGATCGGATTTCAAGACTTGGCAGTGATGTTAAGTTGCAGTTGTATGGACTTCACAAGATTGCCACTGAAGGCCCTTGCCATGAGCCCCAACCGATGGCATTGAAGGTCTCTGCTCGCGCAAACTGGTATTAGGCGTCTTCTCTGGATTTTGAGATCTATGTTTACATATCATATTATGCTTGGTTGTTTTTTTTTTTTTTTTTTTTTTTTTGCTTAAAAATGATTATGTCTATATTGGGTATTTTTTATCCATCTTTTTTTGGGTTCAGGGGTGGAGAGTTCCCAATATGTCTTCATTAGAATACTAAAATTGTATAGAAATTATTGGTCAGTTAGGTCCAGTACTGCCACGGAGTTGATTAGCGGCACATGTATAGGAATTTGAATAAGCTCAAGTTTTGAGAAATGATTGGTTCGCTGATCTCAGAATCAGTTGTTGGTGATTTAACTCTGATGTGGAGAATATGTGCTGGTGGTATGTTGAGAATTTCAATAAATGGATATTGATGTCTATATAATAAAATAGCTTACAGGAATGAGCAATGCAATGTTGATATACAGGGAAATGAGTGAAAAGGCAAAAATAAAAACGGCAAATTTGATTGGGTAAGATAACTGAATGAGAATAGTTATTCCTTACTTTAGAATTTGTATGCACAAAGTTTGAACTTGCATTCTGTAAGAAATGGTGTTCTATAATGGGATGTTTGAATGGTTTCACTTACGTTCCTGTCTCTTTCTGTTATGAATGCTTTTCTGAGTTACCTTTTCATATTCTTTCTCGTTTCTGTTTCTGTTGGTTACTTATTTTTAACTATTATTACTTTAAAAAATGGTTGAAGTTTGTTATGTCGGAACTTGCATTACATTCATGGAAACCACATCAGCTAGGAGAACATGAGATGGAGTTCAGGTCATCAATCTTACTATTAAAACTCGCTGGGGGATACAATAAAGGGGGACAAAGAATCAATTGAAAAGATATTTTTCTAAAATCCTCTCTAGATTCTCAGGAGCCTGTTCCAATTTATTGCACTTTTTCACACTTTCTGTAATTTTCTTACCAATCAAATACCGTGCAAAGTCAATTCAAAATTAGGAAAATCAATGATCATTATCTTGAATCTCAATTTGTCATATTAGCTTTTCATTTTAAGGGAAGAGAGCGAAGAAATGGTTGTTTGCACCCTGAATGTTATGGCATAGAGCAAAATTTGAATCAGGCTCAGGACAGATGAACTTAGTGTAAATTGTGAAATAGCCAAATAAGGCCTCCCCTTTGTGGCTATAGCTTGATTGCTAGACATATAAAAGGCTCATGGCTTCAATGATGGAGGAAAAATATTTTCTGATAGGAATGCGTGGAAACAGCTGGGGGACATGGATCCAGAGGTTGCTATGGAGCAGTATGTCACTGTTCTCTTGAGAAGCATTCCTGGGTGTAACCAAGATGAAGTCAGTGTAAGTATTTCCTCTTGAAGCATGTATTGCTACCAGTCTCTTTGGTGCTTTCAACAGTTGAGAAACTCTGAATCATGCTCTTTTGATGTACAGGGAGATAGTAAGCATATTTTTGTTGATGCTGACGCTTGTAGGAAGCTAGCTTCTGATCTAAACACATGGAAGAAGAACCAACTAGCTGCTGTAGATGAGAGGTAGTTTTGATTAAAATACTTGCATTTAGGTTGATTTATATGAGGCTCTTGAAGTTCCTTAGTCCTTCGCTTGTTCTTTTCATTTCCACTACAGGATCAAGGATGAGCTAATACCATGTCATGAAGGTTTAGATGTGAATGGATCTTCAGTTGAGTCACCTTGAACCAAGGTGTGTATGTGGTTGTTTGTTTATGTATGTTCATGACTTTTAACTTCTTCATGCCCAGCATGCCAAACTGTATGAGGCAAATACTCAGCGAAGATGATATCTATGTTGATATCTCTGTGCCTTGCATGTGATTTATAAGAAAGTCATTATTTATTGGATGTCAATAGCAAAACAGACATGTTTCCTGATAAATTTGTTGCGAAAGTATGAATATTTTCAGTGTTTCATTATTCTTCCAAGTCATACTTCAAATTGCCTACTGCTGCTCCGTAAGAAAATAGTCGCGGTCTTGACAAGATACAATTAAGCAGAATCACATCTCCCAAGTTGGGTGTTTTCTTGAGTTGCATATTCAAAACTTTAACAGCTCTGACAATGTATTTTCTTGCCTTTAATAACATAAATTGGTTTAATTCAGGCAATCGAGATGCCATTCAATGTCAATTGCTTCATCAACAAAGTGGGCTCTCCAGAAATCTCACAGCTTACAAGTGTGAAGGATGTGGAGTTCACTTCATATATTGCTTAGTATTAGAAATGTTTATAAGCAAGTAGATCTTAGTATTTCAGTGCCACACTGTACCTATGGCTATTACAATATTTTCCAACTGATTCCAGCTTCTTATGAGCTTAATATAATTATATTGATTTTAGGGTAGGGGATTTCCTCAATTGCCTGGGTATAGTTTAATTTGAATTGCTTTTAACAGGCTCAACCAAGTTTTGTCCAGGTAAGTCCAGGATTAGGAAAATATTTTATTTGTTTTTTATGACAGGGTAGTTGGATTTTATACTTTTAGCATATTTCCTTTCATGATGTATGAATAAAGCTTTTAAAATTGGAGTTTTAATGTAAAAATAACTATGGGTTTGTGGTGGCTTTTATAGAGAGGGTTGTTGATTAAACTTTTGAAAATGAAGTTTAATTTAATGTCCTACATATAAAGTAAGCGTCACCATTCAACCATTTATTACAATTCTATGAACGGTCTTATTCAGTTAGTTGTATAAGGAATTTTATTGGAGCAATATAATTTGCGTGATAGTTAAGGCTTGATCTTGTTGATGGTGGGTGGTCAATATTCTATTCTAATAACAATTCTTAATTGTTGTAGGAATGTTTATTCTCTTTATGATTGTTAGATGATTGATTTTTTAGTGATTAGAAAGAATTGATATTAAAGTATAAGTTTTAAATTATTAATGTTCATTTTATGGACAAGATATATATATGTCAAGGTTTTAAAATTGGTTCGGGTTGAAACCCGACAAAGTGGTCCGAGTCTGGGTTTGATCAGTTGAATTGGTTTCACCGGCGGGTCAAACTGGTGATGTTAGCATGTTTAAAAGTTTGAAATCTAACAAAAACATCCCTAATAAATTACACAGAAGTCCCTATAAATTTGAAATCTTGTAAAAACATTTCAAATTACATCGTCGGCGTTGACAACCCAGGTCAAATAGGGCTTGTTTTCAGCGTCAACAACACACCTTATCACCACGAAAGCTCTCTCCTCAGCCTCTTGATCAAAACCTATCTCACCCCACCTCCAATCGTCGGCAACAATGCACAATTTTTGTGATTTTCGATTGCTTCACTTATCAAAAATCACCTTCATCGTCACCTTTCAACTTATCATCCATTCCTATTCAGAACACCTAACATTTCAGCCACCAATTACTCGTCTATCATCGTTCTCCTCTTTAGGGTTTGCTATGAATAATCAAAATTTGGTAACTCAACCCCGTGAAGGCCTTGAGTCCCGATTCCGTAGATATATATATATATATAAAATGTTATTTGAGTCCAAAAACATCTATAAAATGCTTTCTAAAGATACCATTCTTAAATTCTTATTTCGCATTCCAATATTCCATCCATAAGGCCAAGGCCAATCCCCTTTTTTTAAATATTCCCTTAAAATGACATTTATATCCACACAAAATTAATCTATGTGGCTCCAATAAAGTAATAATACAAGGAAAACTACACAAGATGTTGGAGAAAGAAACTATGAAAAGGAAAAACAAAACACAATCCTTTTAAGTTCTTTTGGGGTAATACGCACCGTCTTGATCAACGGCACGTTTCACATAAATTCATCTTTCTTCTTTACCAGCCTGTTACTACATCTGCTGCACTAGCAGTTGCTATTACAGAATTCTCATCAAGTACCATACCGATCTGACACTCTTATTTAACACACTTACTTTTACAATCTGTATATCTCTTATTAACTATCTATGATCTAGGGTTTCTCTGAGATCTGATTATTCTCAATTATCGCTTCAAAATTTAAAGAAGCAAAAATGGCCGTCGTAATCGAAAGCTCCGTTTGGGAGCCAAGTCCATTTCTCCATATATTCATATTCCTCTCGTGCTTCGTCTCCATATTTGTCCTTCCTTATTCATCAACCAAACCTTCCTCTGTTTTCGACCTTGGACTCTCCTCTTCGTTTCTTCACTTTCAACGAAACTTTCTCTTCATCTATTCCCTCGCTTCAGGTAACCTTAGCCTCCGTTTCATTGTGGAGTTAAGTAATCTTTTTTAATTTGGGTTATTGATTATTTTTCAATTGCATTGTTATGTTTTGGTCTCAGTAATGGAAGGTTTGTGGTCGGTGTTCGGAGAGTATGAGTTGGTTTATTACGGTGTTAGTAAGGAACAGATGGTGTTGTTTCTGTGTCTTGGTTATGCAGCTGCTCTCTTTGTTGGAACTTTTCTAGGCATGCTCTCTGATTTAATGTAAGTTTATTTGTTATTGTGTTTTCGTTAATCAATCATGCAAAGTTTGCTAGAAGCGGTAGAAATTTCAGAGTGATCAACTTGTTAATTTGTTTCCAACAACATTGTGAATTATTATGGATTCAGTTGTAAAAGAAGAGTAATAATGTATAAATTATTTTGGAATTTAAGAGCTTGTATTGTGTAGGGTGTAAATTGGGAAAAATTAAGATATGATATCGTCTTTGTGAGTGAAAGGGAAAATAATTTTTCATTGATATTTTGGGGATCCATGAATAATATCCTTAGTTTGAGTTATAATATTTTACATATTGATTTTAATGGATTGATGAAGTAATTGGATGTGGTATTGGAACAGCTTGACAAAGTAGAGTTTATTTTGTGTTACACTTTGACAGCATCTTCATGGACTAGGATTTCTTATGTGGAAATTATGGGGCTCTGTAACTGATTGTTTCATGTTTGTGTACTGTAGAGGTCGAAAGAAAGTTTGTTTGGTGTTCTTCATCCTGCACCTCTTTGTTGGTATATGGAAGAAGATTTCAGTGCATCCAGGCATCTGGGTTGCAAATATATGTTTGTCACTTGCCTCCTCAGTATTTTCTTTTAATTTTGAGACATGGGTGGTTGTTGAACATGAAAAGGTTTGTGTATATAATCTTTTTTGTTTTCTGCTTCTGCATTTCACACAGACGTGGTGAATATACCTTTTTGTTTTTTTCTTTTAAATAAATTTGTATTCAAAAGATTGGTTTCAGTTTTCTTTACCCCCTTAACATTTTGGTGCCATTACCATGTTACGTCATCTGCACATGTAGATAAATTTTTCATGATTGTTTATGTGTTTCCTTTTTGCAGCAAGGGCACAGGCAAGATTCTTTGAGTGACACCTTTTGGTTAATGACTTTCTTTGAGTCTGCATCCCTAATTGGAAGTCAAATACTCACGAACTGGTTGGTGGGGATTAATGTAGAGAAAGGCATTGCATCTCCTTCCAATGCATCTATTTTCCTGGCAATATTAGGAGTCATCTTCGTCACAAGAGGATGGACAGAAAATCCACAAGTGGAATTTAAGGATTATAAGACATCCTTCTTTACACATATTTTTGGTGGTAAAAGCTTTTTACTTTTGTATTTAGTGCCTAATTTAGTTTTCAAAAACAAATACATAGTGCTTTTGATATTTTCAGTGGGACAGTTCTTCAGTTTTAATTTAAGCTCGATGGTTGTGGTGTCAAATGCATGGAAAGCATTGTCAAATGTGTTGGACATGTATGATATCATCCATGATTTAGATAAACATGTTTTGGAGCCACTGCTTTACTGTGACTGTACTTCATTCGCTATTGATAAGAGACTATTCTATAATTTGTTGCACTTAATTTGCATTTATCATTCATATGGACTGTTTTGCTTATCATTCTAGCTATGATTAAATCAAATTCATTAATTTGCTTTTGTGAAAGAGAGTTAGAGTGTTTCTTGTAGTTTATTCCTGAAAGTCATGGCATTGCTTTTAATCTCTTGATGTAGCATTAGCTTTTCTTTTCAGTTTAGATTGATTATATGAGGGTGTTATTCTATCATATGAGGATTCAACCACTGATCACTCATCATGTGCTCTTGAATTTTTTTGTGCCATTGTACTTTTATAGAATTGGTCTTTTATAGAATTTCCGCCATTTTACTTCTAAAAAAGAATGCTTAGCAAAGTGAATATCCATTTGATTATTGATTTACCAAAGGAATTACCTGCGCATACCTTAATTTAGTTTCTAATACATATTATGATCAATATGGCATACTACGAGTCACCTAGTCCAAGAATTTTAGGGATGCATATGAAAGAGTAATGTTATGTGCACTAACCAATTTGTACTAATCCAAGTACTAACATTGAAAATTTGAATTTTTATTTTTGGGGGAATTTCAAATTTTCAATGTTAGTACTTGGATTAGTACACATTGGTTCTTGCACATAGTTTTATTCGCATATGAAAACCCTATAGCATAGAGTGAATTTTTGTTTGCTATGACTACTTTGAATAAAATATCATCTCACATTATAATTTATATCGTTGCTGAATTGTGTATGATAACCAGATAAAAGGATATGGCTCTTGATTTGGGCACAAGCTTGCCTCCAATTTTCGATTGCAGTATTCTGGATTCTGTGGGCCCCAACATTGGTGGTATGATCATACATCTTATTGGAAAAGTTAAAAAATTGCTTCTCACTTTTGGTTTTCATTACTCATTTTCTTCCTTTCATTACTGAAGATTCTTGTAACTTCAAGAATTTTAGGCATTATGGCTAGCTTCGCGAAAGTCTTATTTTGATTTTTCTTCACATTTTATGACATAGAATTTTGGTGAAATCTAGGTTTTGGTGCTAAAGTGTACTAATTTTGTTGAAATTTCAGGATAAATAGTTCTCTTACACAGGTTAAGTGCTCAAAAGAAAACTGTTTGTTTACACCTTGTCAAATTTACTAGGTAAAAGTGCTTAGTGGTCGAATGTGAAGAGAATATTAAGCACCCTAACCAATGTCACACATCAGGCATTATGGCTTCCTATTGTGCACCTGATGTCTTATTAAGTAATAAAATTGAAAAAGGAATTCTCAAAGACAATTTTCTATAAATAAAGAAAACAGCAGAATGTATACATATTTTGAAGTAAGAGTGGAGTTGAAATTCGCTAAATTNAGCATAGAGTGAATTTTTGTTTGCTATGACTACTTTGAATAAAATATCATCTCACATTATAATTTATATCGTTGCTGAATTGTGTATGATAACCAGATAAAAGGATATGGCTCTTGATTTGGGCACAAGCTTGCCTCCAATTTTCGATTGCAGTATTCTGGATTCTGTGGGCCCCAACATTGGTGGTATGATCATACATCTTATTGGAAAAGTTAAAAAATTGCTTCTCACTTTTGGTTTTCATTACTCATTTTCTTCCTTTCATTACTGAAGATTCTTGTAACTTCAAGAATTTTAGGCATTATGGCTAGCTTCGCGAAAGTCTTATTTTGATTTTTCTTCACATTTTATGACATAGAATTTTGGTGAAATCTAGGTTTTGGTGCTAAAGTGTACTAATTTTGTTGAAATTTCAGGATAAATAGTTCTCTAACACAGGTTAAGCGCTCAAAAGAAAACTGTTTGTTTACACCTTGTCAAATTTACTGGGTAAAAGTGCTTAGTGGTCGAATGTGAAGAGAATATTAAACACCCTAACCAATGTCACACAATGATGTCATATATTTGTTACTGAATGTTGTTTCTTTCTGTTTTCCTTTTTCCTTTCTCTGGGTAATTTCCTATTGTGCACCTGATGTCTTATTAAGTAATAAAATTGAAAAAGGAATTCTCAAAGACAATTTTCTATAAATAAAGAAAACAGCAGAATGTATACATATTTTGAAGTAAGAGTGGAGTTGAAATTCACTAAATTGTGTTCATATTGTCTTTTTGTCTAGCAAGTAAAAAGCTAAGGACTTATATGTAATTAAATGTGAAAGAACTGATGTCTTATTAAGTCTCAAGTCTTTCTGTGTCATATATGCTTTACAATTACAAATTTGGTCAAATTAATTATTCAATTGAAAAGGATGCTTTTACAAAATATTAAAAAAAAAAAACTAAGAAGCTAACTTGCAGTTATTTCATGCTAAGTGATTATATATTTTTCATGTATTTTAGGCTGATGGGCGAGAAGTGCATCTAGGATTGATATATCCATGTTTGCTTGGTGCAAGAATGCTAGGAAGCACTGTATTCCCATGGCTCATTAGTGGACCATCTTCAATTCGAACTGAGGACTGCCTATTGTATGCATTTGTTGTACTGGGGTTTGTCTTGTCTATAATAGCCTATGATTATCAGGTATGAACATGGCACATATCTTAAAAAGAAAAAGACTTATGCTTACCCATTCTGATTCTGGCACTAAATAGAAGTTTACATCATCTATCGGTGATTTGCAGGAAATTGGAGTCTTAGTCACATTGTTCTGCTTATTTCATGCCTGTGTTGGCTTGATTCTGCCTTCACTTGCTAGATTGAGGACCATGTACGTTGAATTAGTTTTTTTTCTTTTAATGTTATGGTAACTAAGTTATTTAGTGAACTTTTATTGTTTGATAATCTGTTTCTCATTGTCTTTGCAGGCATGTGCCAAATGAGTTGCGTGGAGGGATGATAAGCCTTTCTCTAGCTCCTGCAAATGCAGCAATTCTGCTTTTTCTGTTGCAAGTGCGTATTTTCTAACTAAGATCTTGGAACATGGGAAACACTAATTGACTTCCATATTTGTGTTGTATAATGCACCAATGATGACTATGATAGAACTGTTGGTTTCAATGCAGCAATCAATCTTTTCTTGGTGTAATGCCTGTCTACCTGGAGACTTGAGGGTAATATACTTGGGTTTGAGGATTGTCCTGTCCAATGCTATATCCAAATATCTGTGGCTTTGATGTAGACCACAATGGTGGACAGATGATAATTCTTATGACAGGAAAAATACTGTGTTGACTGGCATAATTGATCTTATAAGATTTCTATGTTTTCTTCATTATGGTCAATTTATAATAAACAATTGGTAACTAGGCTGAGGTGACCTTTGTGAGAAGATACTTTTTCACATTAGTTAATCACAATAAAGCAACTATAAACCTTTGTGGAACCTGGCTGAACTGATCAACCTAGGGCTCAAGCATGTTGAATCTGGTCTTATATGAGAATTTTCTTAACTAATTATATCAGTGGTTTGGCTTAGCAATGAGCTTCCAAATCCATTGTTTGGAAGATGTTTATACTACAGCCACTTTGAATTTTTTTGCTTAAGTGTAGAGTATGCATTTTTATCAGTAGATATGGTTGTTTGCCCTGATGTTTGCCTGCTAGTTTGTCTGGTGATTACTCCCAGCAAACAAACCCAGCTTTCAGAAAAAAGATAGAATATGTTCTAATCTGAAGATGCCATCCTTTCAGGGGAGAAAAAAAGCCTGTGTGAGTTCGGTTAGAAGTTGGGTTAAACTTCACTACATATATTACTGTTTCTTTGTGATGCTGGATAATCTTGCTTCTCAAAGTGTTTTATCTCAGTCCTGACAAGACTCTTATATGTTCTTAGCTTAGTTTGATGTTTGCTTTATTCCACAATAATGTTATAATTGAGCTTATTTATTCATTTATTTCTTGTATTACATATGAACGTTATCATTGAGCTTATTTATTTATTTTTATTACATATGAGCTTAGATATTTGCGTTGATAATCTTGCAGAGAGGCTACTATCGGAAAATTGAGAATGCAGCAATGATAGCCTTTGCAGCCCTTGGGCTGTTCTCAGCAGCTGGATGTATGTATTTATTGAAGCGGTGGGGAAAGCAACCATACCAAGATTCCCACAAATTATGATTTCCTTACCCCATTTCATTTCAAGCTCCGGTTGGTGGATTCTTGGTGTCTTCCATCTATCACCTATTGGTGGACATGAAAGTGAAATTTATTTACGGTAGTGAAACTCAAACATGTGCTGTATAATTCCGGTTGAAGTATGCAAAGAGGCATCTGATTACAAGAATAGGGAAGAGACCATGAAGTCAACAAGTTCGGTTTTAAGGCTTGCTAAACTTAGGTTCATAATCTCATAAATATCTGTTACTCTACAAGCAAGGAGTTTATACGTAAGTAATTTTTTGTCATTGAATCCCGCAAGTTTTGACTTTCAAGTTTGAGATATAAATTGTCAGGCGGATATAGAACCTTGCAGCTAAGCCAAACTAATTGATGATATTTGAGCTGTAGAGAAAAGCTTGCCTCTGATACATTCAGCTTTTAGATGGGTGTGTTAAACTGGGAAAGACTAAGCCGCCAACTAATACAAGCTGATGTTCTCAGATGAATACAGTAATGGACCTGGAGTTAGTCTCGAAGTTGAAAGACTTGTGATTCATGGTATGTATAATAAAATTGAGTTGAAAACATTATTTAATTGTTATATTAATTCTTTGAGAAGGAGGTTCCTCTCTTCTGCCTTGATAAGTTCTGTAGCTCGTAGAGCTTTGAATCTTGTATTCCCAGTGTTAGCAAAAGAGTGGTATAATTTTTATTTTTTTTTCTATAATTGAGACGCCAACTAGGCAAGTTTTCACTTCTGTTGTTCGGGATAGTCATCCTTGAGTTGATCATCATGCGTTGCATAGTTGTTTAGAGGACGGAGATCTGGCTCTTCCTCAGGTTTCTTCTTCCTACTGAAAGGCTGGCCCCTGTATTCACATTTTTTTTCCCTTCTTATTCATGGTTTGATAAAAATGCGGGCTGCACTTGTCAATAATGATAATAAAATAGAAGATTTGAAGTTCGTGGCAGACCCCTTGGATAACTATTGAACCTTCCTTTTTCTTGAAAACTACAAGAGTTAAGTAGCTGTAAAAATAAAATTAAAGTTGGTTTGTGTATCTTAATTTAATTAATATTGGGTAAATAGTAAGACAGCAGATGTTAAAGATGTTTTAGGTCATGGGTACAAGAGTTATGATCTAGTGCACCATAAATTCATGTTGTAAACTGTAAATCTCTGGCATATAGACATTCTTATAATACTGGCACTATTATTCGAACAATTTTTCTTATTGGTATTAGATGGTAGATGTTATAAGTGAAGTTAAACATAACCATCTATTTTGGCTTCTCTGAATGGAACAAAAATTATCGCAACTAAATGTACAATGATTTAATCATATTGTTCTTGATCTCTGATCCACTTTGTAGCCACCCATTTCTGCCCCTTTATTACTGAACAGCTCCCGTGAAGAGATGTCTGCAAAAGCATCCACAAATTATGACATCTTGGATGGAACTGGTTATCGCAGTCCATGCAATTATGAATTTCCAGAACAACAAACCCTTAATCATGGGATTTCAGCTGCAAACCAATATTACTCTCATCACAGCAATAATGAGATCAATGAAAGAAAATGTTCACAGGTTGGCATAAAAGCAGCGGAACATAATCTCTATACATACCAAAAATGCCCACAAATGAACAGAAAGAAATAAGATTTGCGATATGAAAGTGCGCTTAGTCACGGTTTTTGGCATCGTGGAGGTTTTTATTTTTACCATTAATTAATGACACAACCACGAGACATTAAGATATAAATATATAGGATATTATTTGAATCATCTTGTGTTTAATTTGGCAGTTTATCGACACCACTAAATAGAAGAAATCTGTTTTCCAAGATCTGTTGAAAGTTAACAAATCCCTAAGCCAATCAGCTTATTATTATTTTGACTTTCTATGCCGGGAATATTCCCACTGATAAATAGAGTTTAATCAGTCTGATTAATAAGTATGAAAACGTTGATAACTGAAAGGAACACTTACCGGGTCAATTGTGCCATTTGGTAATAATGAATAGAATAGAAGTGCATCCCCTCGGCGTGGCTTCACTTTTAAACCAACGCATTCCCGGTAATCATAGCTTCCATCCATGTTCATGCCATCCTGTGTATCAAAAGAATAGGATGACTGCCTATACATCAAATAAAAAAGACTGACCAAAAGTGAGGAGGAAGAACTTAGGTGTTGATCTTACCTCAAAAGGAAACACGGTTTCCCCACCTTCTTCAACATCAGATAGATACAACAAGAAAGAAGCAACCTGTATGAAGGATGATCGAGAATATTATTAACATATTTGGGAAACTTTAACTGAGTGTGATTATAGTTAAGTATTTGAATTGTACAACCTAGTCTATCTTGAAAACTTTTGCACATTCTATCCACATGCATATTCTCATTGACAATTCTAGAATGTAGAAGCTAAATAAGAGATGCAAATTAGAGTAACTATCAAGAAAATATGGAATGTCTGGAACTACAGCCTATTGTAATTGCATTTGGGACAAACATCACAAATTCTGGTTGGAAGTGACAGCACAGTTGCACTTGCATGTTTCAATTCATGAATGCTATATAAATCATAAAACTCTAAAAACTAAAAATTAGTAATGATAAGAATGAGCAAATAACAGCAATACTGTGGCTTAAAATGTACCCTTTGGCTCTTTTGTGGGCCATATTCTTCTGGATTGAACGCATCGTAGTGGGAGTGATACCTCTGCCCAATCTCATAACGCAATACATTGAATGCCTGAAACATGTGGATATCCTCAGACAATTTTAATATTTCCCTGAAATAAAAGGTTAAGTAATTCAACAAAAAAAGAAAAAAAAAAAAAAAACCAAAAACGAAACATTTCTTTAATGTCTTAAATTTTTTTGGAAAGCTTAAAGGTTTAAACATATAACAGTTGTAGACGGTGATTGTTTAAACATATAACAGGATACTGCAATAAATAAGGAAAAAGAAATTTCAAAGGAGTTGAAGATTACAAATTTGGGAATTAAAAGTTTATCAACTTTACTGTGAACAGTACCTCTCCATGAACCTTAGGAAGCATGGTAGCCCTTGCAATTTTTTCCTCAACGACATCCAAAGTTCCAGTTTCATCTTCAGCAGCAGAAATAAACATTCCAGAACTGTTTGAAGTTTGAACAGAGACAGCAAGCTTATACTATGATTTCTCTAAAGAGAAACTTCAAGATTAAAAGACCAAAAAAATAAAAATAAAAAAAAGTTTATCGGTTTTTAGCTTTTATACATGCACAGTTACTAATCCTGAATCCTTACTGTCAGATGCCCTGTATATGTCAAAAAGATGTTGCATGGGTTGAGATACAGGATTCTATAATATAGCTGAATTTTTTATAGGGAGGGTGACAAAGACAAGTTCAGGGCTTACTTCAGGTTTTCACAATCACACGCATAATGTAGATGAGTTTGGTAAAATATTGTACAAGTTATACCAACAGGCAATTCAATTGGTAAGGATCACTAAAAGAAAGCCATGGAGCCAACCAATTGACATAGATATCGAATACATTTTTTTTTTTTTGAAACCTCAAGCGTGCATAAAGCCTATACCTTGTTCTGATTCCCTTTGTGTTATCCTCTGTTTCTCCCTCACGTAAAGCCAGGGTTGATGGCTTAAGGCTTGGCTCTGCCATATTAATTATGTGTTTGCATTGTTCAGGAGTTGCAAAATTAGGGAAATATAAAGCCCGTGGCATCCAGCTCAAAACCTATATGAAAGGTAGCACATCAAAATGAGAATACTTTCTTTGAAATATGTAAGAAAGGTGATTCCCGTTGTTTTCAGTATGGTTGAGCTTATTGAAAGACAAAAAAAAAATCTTGATAGACCGTACATATATTAATTCTAACTCCATTCATATAATGATTTCTTCATGTCTAACTATCTAATGCTTACAGATTATGTGCTCTTTACTAATTTAAAAACAAATTGCACCTTTCTACCTATCTAATTTTAATGTGGGATCCACTATTTCTGGATAAAAAGCATAGCATTGTGGGAGCATAAAAAAACTTGCTCCTTTTCATAACCTTTCATATCTCTACCTAATTAATCACTAGTTAATTATAAATTATAAAATTACTTTTCAAAAAGTTCAGAAAGTGCCCAACTAAGTGTAATTCAGCATTAGAACATTAATGAAATTAATTTCAAGACCTAGAACTACCTAATCCAATAAAGAAACTTCCTAACCACACTTTTCAACCAGAAGCGAGCTTTTAATTAATACTTTACATCTTAAACCCTACAAATCTCATCAAACATATGGTCTGATTGTAATAGTCGACCTACAAGTAAGAAAATAAAGGCAAACAGATCATGAGAAAATTACGTCATTCACCAGATTACAACCTTATTTCACCATTAATTACTTCCATTAAACCAAGTAAAATCAATAGAAATGAACAAATAACAAATTATGCGGCTCACTCACGAACTTAAATAGCTTTCAATTCATTGTTCGTCCTGATAAAAAGAACACTAATATCGGAATTACTTGAATAAAAAAAAAAAATCACAGAAACCTCTGAAGAATTAGAAGCCTTCAAAATCAGTTAAAAATGTTTTCGTAGCAGAAAAAACAAAAAAGTAAAATCGCCTAATTACGCTAATAATAAAAAAACCAACTCTAAAGAATCAGTAATGAATTAAGAACCAGAAGTGCGTTATGAAACGATCGATCATATAAATAATAGGCTAAAAGAATAGAAGATTGAAGAATGAAGAACCTGAAAAGGAATGGTAGCAAGTGAATCATCTCCTGTGTGTCCATGAGGCAATAAATCATACTTGTCTTTCACCGATTCTAATATTGTCATTCTCGGCCTCGCTAAAGAAGAATCCTGCCACTGAAAATTAACATACAACGAATTTTAAAGACCATTGGAATTAATAAGAACTTCAATCAAAAGTGAAATCAAATCAAATACCTGAGAAACGAGAGAAGAACCGAAGAGACCAGCGAGGAAGAAGAACAAACAAGCAAGAAAGACGACAGGCAATCCTAGCTTCGTCTTGAGGTTCCAATTCGATTTGGCTTTGGCTTTCATTTTGCTTTCTGGTTGGTTCGATTTGGCTCACTTGATCGGTCTCTGTCGTCGTTGCTGTCGCTGTTGCTGGGAGAATTGGTGTGTGTCTGTTTGGGAAGTCAAATGAGTATTAATTATTGTTCTGAGAATGTGTTTGCTAGCGATTGCAAATGTACGACGCGGCGGGAATTTTCTTTAAGAAAGACAACGGGCGAGTTAAATTACCAAATTGTTGCCAGATTTGATAATAAATTGCTCCGACACAAAATCCAATTCACATCTAGTAACGGGTGATTCACCTGTAACGCTTTCCTTTTTCTTACTGCTTTTACCTTTTTCTAAGCCCATAGTCACAGTTGGCAATACTATCCAACTTTATTTATTCTTATCAATCTCAGTCTCAGGGTTTTTGAAATGCATTCTTATAATATTAATATTTCATTTATTTTATTTTAAAATTAAAATTAATAAAACTTAATAACTAGAACAACATATAATACATTACTATATAAATAATAAGAGAATATAATAAAATATGAGAATGAGAGCCAAACATTAAAAGTAAAAAATGAAAGTGGAGAAAGTGCGAATGGATGGGCAAAGGCCAAATTTGAGTTACCGGATCTTGCTGGACTCCATTACCATTACCGCATTGAGCAAAATTATAATGTTGATAGCTGGGTCTGCCAGCATAAGTAAATGTAAGCATGAGTGGCCATAATAAGATACTGACACGAACGTTTTTGTCATTACAATGATTGATTCGTATTTGGACGCAAGTAATATGTGCTCCTAATCATGGTTGAGTAAATCCACCCATTATAATATTATCAAACTCACAAATAATTTGAACAAATCATTCATTTCATCACAGCAAACAACTTTAATTTGAATATTAAAATTTAAGGGTATGTTTGGTTGAGTGTATTGGACTGGCACCATTCTTCTGTATAATATTATTTTCAAATTAAACTATGCTTTTAGGTGAGTGGGATTGTATTAAAATTTTATATCTTGGTTGACTTTCTCTTCAAAATTAGTCCCCACTGCCTCCTGGTTTCATCCGTATTACACAATTTTTTTGGAAAAAAAAAATGTTAAAAACATACTTAACATAAAAACTATTCAAATAATATTAAAACGATAAGAAACAGGTTAATGAAGTCACCCGCCAACCACCGCCACAAGGGTGTTGGTGACACCACCAGCAACAATAGCTATTCGTTGTTACGATTTTTCGCACCAATGAGAAGTATGCAAATCTTTGGAGAAACTTGCACATAGTTCTGCAATAGACTGATATTATGATGCTGAATTTAATAAAAGAATTTTTAAAATAGTTCGGATGCAAAGCGTAAATCCTACGTCTACTGTTATCTTATTATTTTTTTTGTGTAGTTTTGTGTGTGTACAAGAATTATTTGCTTCAAATGAGACAATTACTTTCAGCTATCCAAATTCCCCTCTTCCTCCTTGGGGTGAGAGACCTCTTTTTATAAAGTTACATAGGTGAACTTGTACATGAAGTAACCCTCTCATGAGTCATAACATGACATGTGGCCTAACAAACCGCCATTCCTAGGGACTTGGAAGTAACTCTTTCATTGGGTGACACGCGACCTAAGAGACAACTCATCCTAAGAATTACAAGTGAAGCAACTTGTAATAAACTTATAAGTGAAGTAATCCTTTCACAGTGTGACACGCAGCTTAGACAGTTACACAGTCATGGGACACGTGACATGAATCCATGCTGTATAGATTCACCGCATAACACTATTATGGTTGGCGACTCCACCATCTAGTTTTAAATATTTTTCTTTTCAAATTTTGTATTTAAATAATAATAATTATTTTCCTAATTTTTTTAAATAATTATTTATATATTTAATCCACGAAACAGATGATAGTATCAAATTTAATGCAATCCAATTCCATCCAATTCACTTTTATTCAAAAAAAAAAAAAAAATTAATCTAGTGTATTACACCAAACTCCAAAGGCACCCTAAAGCAAAAATTGTTTTTTTATTGGACTGATAAGAGTTATTGATTACATAGAAATAATTAGATCAACATTAAAAATTGATAATATTAATAATCTCATAACAGTAAACAGTTTAATATTATAATTTTCGAACGGAAATAATTACATACAAAACCCTTTTCAAGAGTCAAATTGAAATCTAATCTTCTTTTAATAATTTAATTGGTTTAGTAGATAAGACTCTTCATTCAATTTCTTTCCACTTTTACTTTCTTTCACTCTGGCAGTGAGGGAAAATCATTTTAGTGCTCTGGACTCTGGAGTCGCACAGTCCAATCAACTCACTAGAGTAAATTTTTTTTAATTTCTTATTTGAGAATATTAAAATAGCTCTTATATCCATTTAATATTCCTTTTAAAGACATTATATTTTATTTCTTAATTTTGTTGATAAAATATAATTAGTTAATGTATTTGTTAGTTTAAAGAAATTTTGATATTTAATTTCTAATACAGATTTGGATAATAATTAAAAAAAAAAAAATCTAATGACTGTCAATAAAATAGAGCACTTTAGCGCTAGAGTTGCTAGAGTGAAGGCATGAAAGTGTGAGGAATAAACATGGAAGAAAAATTTGAATTTTTTTTTCTAATAAAGTACTTAAAAATGCTAGTTTTACAAGACACAAACAAAGGGGCATACAAAGACAATCCCCACTCTGATTTTCATGATTTTTTCTCTCTCTCCCTCTCTTTTTTCGTTTTTTTTTTGTTTTTCTCTTGGAGATGTCACTTTGTAACCTTCTTTGTATGAGTCTTTATAAAGATAACATTTTTCTATTTAATGTTAAAAGCAAAATGTTATAACTTTAATAGTTTTCTCATTGGAAGAGCTTACCTTGCTCAGCAATGCAGGGATAACAAAAAGACAAGGAGGGAATTGAGATTGGGTGTTTGAAATTCATACATTCATTTAAATGAATTTTATTTTAATATGTTGATTGGATAATTTAAATTTTTTCAATGTAATCTAACGTTGAGTGAACCGATTTTGATCCATTATATATATATGTTAAATTTCAAAATTCAAGCATTTTATTAAAATACATTGGATTGATTCCAGGAAAAAGTTTCATCAAACAAATAAAATCCTTAATTTCAGTTCGATTGATTGAACTCAGAATCAAATTAGATTGACTTAAATCACTGTGAATCCCATTTATAAAGAATATTCAAACTAATTAGTGTCGATTACGATTAAATTAGCAAAAGCATGTCAAATTAAGCAAATGTATTAATTTACATTCAACTCATTATAGTCTACCGTAATATTTTTTTTTTTTTTTAATGATTGGAAATGTCTATGCCAACTTACGTGTATCTCAAATATTCTTGGGACTCTAGAACTACAAGTCAGGTACAAATTCTAATGTCACTCCTATTAGCACTGTGGAGACTTGAATTTGAGAAAACCATGTTAAACTTTCTCTTGTTATTTACCCTCTCAAATGGACTCAAATTTGGAAGATCATGTTAGATCTTTTTTTCTGAGATAACGTTGGTTGGCTAATGGGAACCCGCTAGTCACGTACATGATTACTAAGGATCCTTAAATCAATGGGATTGTGATTTTTTTTATTCCAGTTACTTGCATTTTATACATTTCAGAACACATTGTTCTACTTGGATATAAAACAAACAAACAGCTAGTGTTGATCAAAAGTCATTCGTAATCGTGCTTGTGGAAGCACGAGCGACACATACAAAATTTCGTGCAAGGCAACAATTGCCACGTTGAACTGGCGACCCTCTTTCTATCCACAAATAATAAGATAATAAAACCACAGCTGGACTAAATCAATGGATAATCTTAAGCTTAATTTGGATGGTGCACAACAAATCAAAACGACCTAATAACACAAACAACTCTTCTGCTACGAAAAGGGTCCCTGTCTCAACACTCCCTTACTCCACAAATTGCAATAAAAACATTTTATATGTATTATTTTCCTCCACGTAAATAATAAGTGGTCCCTCAAACAATAATAGTACAGCTCTCTTTTTAACTAGACAGCTCAAGATCATTCTTCCCTCTATTGTATTCAATGTTCACCAAGAATTGAACGGCCTAATTAGTTCAGCTTTTACTCTGCTGCATCGACAGAAGTTTAGCTTTCTAAATATAGATGCTCAGACTAAATGTGTATTGCTCTATAATTCCTAGTGCAACACAAGTCAAGCTTGGGAGCAGCAGGGGTTCATGGATTATTAAGTATCACAGAGCTCAGAAGTCACCTTGCGGGGTTTCTGTCAGGGCCTTGAAAGATGAAACGGATGGGGGAACAAGCAGTTCTCCAGGCAGGAGCTGGGACCCTGGCTTGGAAATTGAGGTTCCTTATGAACAAAGGCCGGTAGGTTGATGCTTCTTCTATGATTAGTAGTGGTAACTTCATTGCTCCCTGTAGATTAGAAAGATTAAATTGGTCAGTTAGCTGAATATTTAAGTCTGAGTGGTAAATTCTCTATGGCACAAACAATCAAGTAGACCATACTATAGTTACACAATATAATTTCTGTACATATGTTACTGGAAAGACATTAAATCAAAAGAACAGATGAAGAAAATAAAAGAAGCATGAGAGTTAAAAAGTATCACAGGTAGAAAGAAAAGCTACAAGCCTACAAGTAAATTCAGGAATTTTGTGTCTTGAATGCTGTACAAAATAATCAATTCATACTCACATTTAATCACTAGTTGGTTCCACTTGGTAGTATTTTCAGGCACATTCATGCATACCACGTTTTGTGACCTAACTGTGATTTAGGATAGTCAACCAACACTTACAATGATTTGTTCTATATTAGGTGAACGAATACTCATCTCTGAAAGATGGAGTTCTGTATTCATGGGGCGAACTGGGACCAGGGCAGTTTTTCCTTCGACTTGGGGGTCTCTGGTTAGTTACTTTGACAATCCTTGGAGTTCCAATTGCAGCCGCGAGCTTTGATCCTTCAAAGGTAAGTTGAAAATTCTAGAATTTTCTTTAAGTACACAGTACATCAATAGTATAATGATAAAGGCAGAACCTATTTGTGCCACTGCTATCATAGATCTGAAAACATTTCTCAATTACACTGGTTGGCTCCAAGGCCTTGAAAGAGGTGGCAAGAAATGGATGCAATTTAAGTAGAAATTCAGATTCTTGATTAACAAAAAAGCAGTCACAATGGGTTCTGCAGAATGAGGCACGTTGTCTTCATGTTATGGCAGTCAAAAGTCAAAACTATATTGTAAAGTAAAAATTATCATGCACAGATCACATTGACACGTGATAATACAAATTATCAAGGGAAGAGTACAAATATAAACTGGCTAGACATATTCCATTTTCTGAGAAGCAGGCTACTTTCTTACAATATCAGATGTTCAAATACTGCAGGAACCTCTAAGATTTGTGCTAGCTGCTGGAACAGGAACTCTTTTCCTTGTATCACTAATTGTCTTACGAATATATCTGGTATGGATACCTCCTCCTTCATGTTATAATCATTTTACTATTCGAGTTATTATGCTGATTATGCAGTAGTCATTTACTATAATAAAACACTTTTAGGAGAGAAAAGCTGTACCATGCCAAGAACAGTATATTTGCAACACAAATATACATGAGACTCGGATCTCTATATAAGTGGACAAGTAAAAATGAATAAATGAGCCAAACATTTTAACCGTTGATTGTGCACAATTAGTAACATATCAAATGACAATTGGGTTTATCGAGTTGACTTCACATATTGTGGTGAAGGATTCAATAGCAAAAGTCTATGGAGAAATTAGGCTTTTACATGGGCATGTCAAGACTTTTACGGGGAGATATTGTAATTTTAAACTCAAACACTTGCATATAGCAAGGAGATGATTTATCCAACAGATCAAAGTATGAGGGTATAGGCAGAGCTAGTCTGCGACAAATTAATTACACATTTGAAAGTATCACAAGAGGCAAATGTACCATAAAATGAGATATATGGCAAGCTCTTAAACAAGATACAACATAGAATTCCAACTGCTTGCGTCTCCCACAGTTTTTATTTTATCCAATAGCTTATTATATTCAATGATGTAATTTTTTCTTTCAAGAACTCAAAATCTATTTAATTGACTACAAAATTATAAGGTTTCCATGGTAATTTAACAAAATATTAATCCATAATTTTGCATATTGCAGGGATGGAGTTATGTTGGTGACAGACTTCTATCAGCTGTGATACCATATGAAGAAAGTGGGTGGTATGATGGACAAATGTGGGTAAAGCCACCAGAGGTTAGCACATTTTGAACACATCTCTCTGTTTCTCCATCTCCTTCACTTTCCTTCCCTATCTGGCTGACAGGATGATTGTAAGTCAGAAACATGCAGCGCTTTCCTTACTAATTCATGCATACTGGGTTTCCAGAAAATGAAAATTAACAAGGGACTCCCAACATCTAGACACTGATGAAGAAGTTGAGACCCAATTGACTCACAAATCATATAAAACTTTTCAACTAAAAGACACGCTGGAGACCACGAGTCAAGAGACTCAAGATAGGTTTGTATAACAAAGATAAATAGGGTCAGAAAAAACTTGAAAATATTTTGAGATGTTTGGTACTAAAAAGCCTCTTTTCTTTTTTACTTCAGCTGAGAATTAACTTCTATTATGCACCCTAAAGCTGCTGACTACAATTTACAATCTTTCACTGTGTCCATTTATTGATAGGATGACAGAGATGGCAAACGTTTTGAAGTAGGAAACATAACACCTAGGAATTTTGAAGAAAATAAAATCAAATGATGACAATATTTTTTTCTTCTTTAGCTAGATAAGCTAAATGATGACATTCAAAAATTAAATAGTGGAATAAATGCCAGAGATCATTTAATATCTGAACTAATACAGAATAGATCCTGAACCATGCATTTTCCTGTAGCAATCAAACTATTGAGACAGAAGTGTCAAGGAACTTTAATAACCTACTGAGTGCCATGATATTTAAGAGATATGTCATAGGGCCACATGGAAGGGAACATTTGATATCAGGATAAGCACCATGCTGACAAATAAAAATGCAGAAAAGGGTAACTGTTGGAGTTACCTGCACTAACTTAGCTCAGTTACCACTTGGCTACCATAAGAAATTAACTGACAGCCAATAACTCCTACGTAAAGAACAATGGCAGTTTGGTTTGAGCATCTAATCTTGAACTTATATCTGCAATCCAACAAATAAAAGTTAGCATCTTGACACGAAAAAGTAAAATTTATATTAAGATAAGAAAAACTTAAAATGAAAAAGAGAAAAATGAAAAGTAACAAATTTAGTTGTTTATAAGACCTCTATTATAGTTGACCAGTGTTATCTGCTAACCGAGTAATCTGGTGTGATGGAATAAGAGTAAAAATGACTGAGGGTTATCCTTCATAGATAATTAGAAAGATTTATTAAAAAAAAAAAAAGCAAAAAAGAAGCTCAACTGCAGGGTTGGTATAAAAAAAAAGCCTTGCCCCTGATGACATAGAGTCAGCAGAGAATAAAAAAATTCTGAAAAATGAACCCAAAAAAAAAAACATAAAGACAAAACTTCTGCAGATATTATCTCTGTGGATTAGATAACTCCACTGAGAACTAACTAACTTGTTTTTCCCTCGCAGGTCCTAGCTCGTGATAGATTATTGGGTGCTTACAAGGTACTATCAACACAATTGATCAAATTCATTTTTGAAGTTTTATAAACAGAAGCATATGGTTCATGTCCTGGGAAAATTTATGTACTAAACCAAACAATATACAGTCACATACAACACATGCAGAAGTACACTTACTCATACTTTTAACACGTATACTATATAAGCATCAAGCATTGAAGACATGAATATTTACATGCATTTCTGCTAAAAATGCCTACTCACATTCTACAGCATATTTAACAGGACCATGAGGTGCAATTTTTGTGCTTTTAAAATGAATGAGAATCTCATACGGGAATTTATGCCTCTAGGTTAAACCAGTCATCAAATTGCTAAAACAAACACTGGTAGGAACTGGGGCATTACTTGTGACAGCAGTGTCGCTATTTATCTTTGCTACACCAGTGGAGCATTTTTTTCAGACCGCCTTTTCCACAAAAGAGAACCCCTCCAATGTTCCAGTTGAAAAGATTGAAAAAAAGTCTAATATAAGGTATGTACAGAAAAATAGAGATTCCAACCCTTCAATTCTCAAGTGCTTTGGACACTTACATTCCAACTTTCTTCTTATATATGTAGAAAAGAGGAGCTGCTAAAATTGCCAGTGGAGGTCAAATCTGATGACGATTTGGCAGCAGCTGCAGCGGAGGCTGCTGATGGAAGACCTGTCTACTGTAGAGATAGATATTATCGTGCATTAGCAGGTGGACAGTACTGCAAATGGGAAGATATGCTGAAGTAAAGGAAAAAAAGGAGGCATGGATCAACAATAATTTCATATCATCAATGGATCTGTATTTCGCATTGACAGGAGCATTTCTTAAAAGTTCAACATTCTGTCACGTTTAAGGAAAACGTTTAGATGATTTATGAAACAGGGAAGTCAAAATGAAATGTGAAAGAAACAAATGATACAGAAGCTAACAGATAACTTATTGATCAGTATCAAGGAGAACAATATATCAAATTTACAACTTGCATGCGTATTAAATCCTTGAAATGGAGAAGCCATGTAAGTCGTAAGGCTTGAGGCTTATCAAGATATACAACAAAATAAAAAAGTGAATCCAGCATATATAAACCTACATCATATAATTTGATTTTAACTATATTATCATTTTACTATGTGAGCCTTCATTTGAACAAAATTGTAGCCAAATGAACTCTCAATAGAATTTCTGCTCTTCCTTTTTGACCGCCACTTAAACAGTCATCTCCCTTTCCGATCCTGACGGACAACTACAGTGAACAACTTCAAGAACTATTGTTGAAAGAACTATAGCAGCACAGGAGGAAATCCATTCTTTCGATATATCCCATGAATCATCTTTATGAACAATCATAACAGGATGATGGTAGGCTCTTCTTTTTTATTACCAATTTTCCTCTCACATTCATGCCTGATGAATAACAACTTCAGGAACTATTGTCACAAGAAGTGAGCAAAAGGGCTTGCTTTTAGAGAAGACCAGAGCTCACACATAAATTGGCAGGATAAGAGCCAATCTTCCTCAACATATTCTATCAGTCATCTTTCTGAATAAGCATAACAGGATTCAAGAAGATAGATTCAGCAGAATCACCACCAGTGAAACTAAGATTTCTTGTGACTGATTCAATATAGGATATCAAAGCAAAATCAATAGATAATGCTTTGACTGGAACCTTTTATAATTTTCCAGGCACTGAAGCATTGAAGTATTTACAATGCCAGAACTTGAAAGCCCTGGATTATATCACTTAATGACTTCCTCACAATAGCTAAGAATTTAAAGCCTCCAAGATATCATAGAAATACCTAATACGGCCTTGATCCATTGGAGACAAATGCATCCCAACAACCAATCCTTTGACATTAGAAATGAAGCATTTCTGATATGCCACAGAGCTGAAGCATTTACACTTTCTGAAAGTACCCAACTTTACACCTCCTAAACAAGTTTCTTGCACCAGCTGAGAATTCTGAACATTTATACGTCAAAAATATCCCTGAAGGTCCGCTTCCTTCTTTTTGCATCTTCAAGATCTAGAGTTCTATATGCAAGTGCAAGCAAATACATTGCTGGATGAAGCCTTCTGCAGATCATATAAATAAAACAGAAGAAAACAAAGTTAAGAGTTAGGGAGATTAAGTTAATTTTCCATGGTCAATTAAGACATAATACACCAAAAGAACCTATTAAGGATAACTACGACAAATAAATCCAGGTGAAACTGCTGGCTTATAAGCATATAATACAAAGTCCTAGACTAAAAGAAAAATTATAATGTTGAAAATTATCTTTGAATATTTGTTGCAATACACCAAGTGATACTATAATTTAAACTTCATTTTAAAATTTAATCTCCTTTTCTCTGTCTTGTCCTGCATCAAATGCACTTACTTGTCAAATTGTTCGCTAGCATCAAAACCATCCCAATACCTTTGGGACAACACAGTGTGGCCTCTTTTATCTCTGCCAAATGTTTCAATATACCAACCACCTATATCATGCACGCCACAGCGGGGCTCGAACAGCCAAAACCTGTTGCAATAATCCATTAAAGATTTAGTAAATGAAAATATAGATCTGAGTGATTTCCCGTGGTATGCTACAGATAATACATGATATTTAAGTTTAAAATTCCACTAATTTTATTCTCCAATCAACTTAATTTTACAATGATAAAATTTCTGATGAAGAAGCTTCAAGCCACTATAATGAGGCATGACCCAACTGACCCCATAGGTTTTTTATCAAATCCCAACCAAATCCACTGCATTGAACTAACAAGCTCAGTCTTATTAAGTCAGAAATTAGAATCAAAACCAATCTTATGCTAATTCGAATAAGGATCATATTAATTGTACCAATAAAGCACAAAATACTTCCAAGATTTGACAAAACATATAAAGCAATATGCCTGCATATTAAGAAATCCAATAAAATCTTCAGCTGAAGACAGTATAGATAAGAGAACAGACACAATTCCAAGACAAAAAGAAGACCAGGCAAGACACGCATAACATTCTCATGTGAGGCATCAAAGCTTATTTTCTCGCACATGTAAAAATCATCCAACAGTCCCAAACAAAAGACTGTAAGTTGGTCAAAAACAACATCCTTTAATTAACCATAATAAAAAGTGAATTTCATTTAGCCAACTTCAAATGGTTAGGCAAGGCTTGGTTGGGATACAAATATTGTCAAACGACTCCTCTAATAACTGACACAACTTACTTGCTAGGTGGTAACCGGGCTCTACTACATCTACACTCACAAACAGAAACTTCATCTCCTACTTGATACCAGTGCATATGCTTAACCTGAAACATAAACAAGAGGGAAATATGAAAAACAAGTAATAATAAAAATTTCCTTAAATACATCACACAAATACAGTGATGCAAACAGATACAATAATTTAAAGCTTAGCAGCAGTGACAGCCAAAAGTTTTCAAGAAGTCAAATGTCTTTCTTCACAATGAAACTTAAGCAACCGGAAGGGATGCCTTAGTATAAGATTGGCAGAGAGCAGTTTGTCAGGCGAGATGCAGATTAAGGGTAAGACATTCATTGAATGATGTGTCTCCCACAATCAAAGAAGTTATAAAGATTGAAACACCGAGACACACCTAAATTCAAGTATAATGCAGGCAGAATATATGAAAAACTGTAAACACCATAGAGGAGATGCATGGTTCAAAAAGAATGCGCGACTGTCGATTGCTACCTGCCCCTAAACCTGATTGCCGTAAATCTTGATGCAATTTTACCAAATTCTAAATTTTAAGGGCGAAATCTCTTGTTCTTATACATGTCGTCACAAAGAACACTTTCTACAATAATCTTGCTCCAACGTTGCAAATAGTTGTTAGCAAAATTAATTGAGTCATCTTATATATCTGTTCATGCAAGAAGCACCAAAAATCATTATTATTACTTTCTAAGTATTAATAAATCAACAAATCTAGGCAGGTAACTACATGCAAAATCATCAAGAACCCAATCATTGTTTCAATTACAAGCCAAATAGTCACAATGTGCACCACTCAGGAAGCAACCCAGAATAGAGTTGTAGATCTGAATCTAGTGTTTATCTTTTTTATTTAATAGGAAAAATGACACAAAGAAAATTGCATCTTTAAGTAAGCATCTAAAATATAGACCGAAAATGGCATATCAAGGATGGAAGTGAAAAAGAAAGCAAACAAAAGGATATCAATTTTACAGACCAGCATTGTCCTATGTTTCATTATCACATGGGTTTTTGTACCACTGCTATTGTAGACAAAGCATGACCCCTCTTCTGGGCTAGTCCTCAAACCAGTTATAGTTCCAAGTGGAATCCTTGATCCAACTGCAACATGCAAAAGGGAATCCTTGGAAAATCCTGCGCTAGAATGGAAGGGACCTTCATCTGAACTAAGAAAAACATGAATGTGATCTTCAACATCTTCTTTCTGAATCCCATCAGAATAGCTTTTAGGAGGGACTCTAGTAGCCACAGCAACCACACGTCCAGAGACATGCAATTCTAAATCTTTATATGCATCTGATTCATGACTTGTATTATTATTGGCTTGTTGGGGAGAAATTAGAACATCATTTACTACATTAGAATTCATACAACTGCCTGCATTCTCAACAGACCAACACATGTCCAAACCAATGTTCGTCGGAGTCAGCTTTTTATTGCAGGCAAAAGACAATCTGAGATTATTATTAGCCAAGCAGACCATTCCAAAAAGATCACGCCCTGAAACCAAGTGCAGCACCTCTGGAGTTTCATACACAGACCTCTCCTCAGCTTCAAAGCGATCAGGAAGAAGGTCCATGGACTCAATTAAAGGGCCATAGTATGCTGCATGTATGGCTGAATAAAAATCTGCTTGAAGTACATCAAAGTAGCCCGTTCCAGCTATAACCTTCTTCTCTGACACTATATCATTTATAGCAAATCTATACCACTTTAACCATTCAACAACTTCCATTTGCTTGCTTGCTGTCATGTGGGATTCATACATGTACAATTTTGAACCTTGTCCAGACTTTTTTTGCATAAGCTTCCTTTGGGATAGAAGATGCAGGTCATAGTGAGCCCTCTTCTCAGAATCTGAAAGTATCTGCAATGCATTATTGATCAAATTTCGTTGTCAGAATTCCCTGTATGTCAAAAACACCACAATAAGAAATATTACTAAACTACAAGCAGTCACATTGTAAATACATGAAAAAATAAATTATTTACATGCATAACTCCATCTAACTATCAACTGCAGCAAATGTACAACTACCTACGAATTGGAGAACAAATTTTGGTTGTATATAATCCAAATTATATTCTTTTCACAAATAAATATTTTAAATAGAATCTAACTAATTAAACATAAATTATTCAATGATATTAAAAAAATACTTTGATTTAAAACTCAAAATATAATTGCTTTTCATTTAAACTGATTTCAATAGGTTCATAGGCGGAGTTTGCACTCATTCTCCAAAAACAATTCAATTTAGTCCCGCACTTATTTATTTACACCCAACAAAACATAGGACATTTCTATAAAATCCGATCAAAATGCAGTCCCAGTCCCAATGAAGTTCCAAAAATAACCTAAAAGTCTTGATATCAATAGCAAGATTCTTAACAAAGCATCTCCCATCAACATTTGTTATTTGCAATGAGTCTAATCAATCATAATATCAAAAGGCAATCAGAACTTAATATTCCAGAATTCAACCCTCAAAATCAATCTCTAAAGTTTTCCAAGTTTTATTACTAACTTTAGAGATTCCAAGTTTTATTACTAATTCTAGTCCCTTACTATACTAACTAAAACTTTAATAAGTTCAAACTCCAGATATTAGCACTAATTCCCCATTCGTATCACATGATCAGACTACTCAAATTTTAAAAAATATGTAAACATATACATATAGTACCTCATAAGCTGCAAGGATTTGAATGAAACGTTTTGAAGCAGACAAGTGGTTCTTTGAATCAGCAAGGTCCGGGTGAGTTTCCTTGGCTAATTTTCGAAACGAAGTTTTGATTTCAGAAAATGAGCTGGTCTCCGGTACTCCTAAGATATTATACGCATTTTCTAAGGGAAATTCTGACTGAGTCGACTCAGTGCTTCCGCTACTGAACCACCTAGTTTTAGAACTCGGATATAAGAAGAGATATCGCCAACTACAAGAGTAGCTACAATTCGGCCGAACTTGAAAAGATAGAAGTTGCCGGTGACGAAAGAGTCCGGCGAGAAATGCCATGACTTATTATTTTATAATTTAATTAGGATTCTGCAATAAGATGCAACTGAACTGATGATGATGCTAATTGTGCGAGATTTTGGAATTGGGCCGGTGATACGTGACGGAAAGACGTGTCCATTGCACAGTGTGACACGTAGCATCTGATACTTTTGATCGTGGCGATGCCTGGTTGCGAGGCCTTGAGCCTTTGGGCCAAAGGTACTTATTTGGACTGTTGATGGACCTTTTAGGAGTTTGAATGATTTTGGTATAATTTTTCAAAAACGTCCCAAAAATGTACATAATTTTTAAACGTACCCAAAAAAAAATCCTTTTAATGATTTTGATATATTTTTTTCAAAAATGTCCTGAAAATGTACAGAATTTATAAAAATTACAAAAAAAAATATTGAAATACCTTAAACTCATAAAAATAAATAAATGATATCTTCAAAATATAGTGTTTTTCTAAACTTGTTTTAACCCCTTTAAATAAATTTATTTTATTTTAAATACAAACTTTATAATTTGATATTATTTTTTAATCTAAGTCTTATTATATAATTGGTGGAGTGTGAATAGCATCTCAAGTCTCAACTTTAGAAAACAGCCATGAACACAAGCTTGATCCATGAACAAACAAAAGAGCGAAGAGGTGCACGAAGAACTGGTGATGCATAAAAGAGAAAAAAAAATATCTAATAACTCTAATCAAAACATCACTTAGACTAGTACTTATTCCTCGTCAGAAATATACACTACTTAAATGGGTTATTTACATATTTTTCTTTGTTGACTCTTTCCGGGAGTTGAAAGCATTTCCAAGATTTCCTGCAAACTAGTTGTTGAGCAACATGCTTTATCTTGATTTTGTTTATTTAACTTTCTATTTCTTCCATTAATGCAATTGGGTTTCATCTAACTACTTATCCAAGTCAAACTTTGTGCTAAAACATTGGTGATTTTGGTGAAGAAGTAAAATAAAAATCATCAATTCATTTGAATATTTGATCCATATGCAATATATAAATTAATGATACTAAAGCACTAGGTGGTGTCTTATAAAATCTAACGGTGGGAACTGAGGAAGCCATAAACACAAGCCTAATAATTCTCGTAAATGACATTTTTGTCCCTGAGGTTTGGAGAAAGTAAGTTCATAAAAAAAAAAAAAAAAAAAAATCGAAAAATATCAGAATAATCCCCTTCAGACAACTAATGTTATCCAGATCTAACTTTGTAATAATCTTTTATATTAAAAGACTATATTGCCCTTTTAATTTATTATTAATTTAATCTTTAATCTCATTTAACCTATTTTTATTTGAAAATATATATTAATTTAATTAGTATATTAATAAATCTGTCTTAGGTTCAAACTTTAAGGATATTTACTACAGTAATATTATAATTTACTTAATTTTTTAGACTTGTAAGATGTTCAATAAATCCCAAAGTTTAGTTAAGGATCACGTAAACTGACCCGAAGTTACCAAAAAAAAAAAAAATCTGTAAAACAAATAAAATTAAAGTTTAAAAGGAAAAAAATGAAAGGACGCAAACAGACACTAACTCCCAGGAACCCCCACTTCGACCAGCAAGCCCTTACCATCATGCCATCTCACCCTCACCTTCACCCCCAACGGCCCAACCCGTCGCTTGTTAGTTTGTTTAATATAATTTGGTTTTTAGTAGATATTTTAGTTTTTTTAATTTATAAGATTCATTTATTGTTAAAGAACTAAAAAAACCTTACGCTGTTTAATAATAGGTAACGTCAATTGTCTGACAGGGACTATTGTGAGATTTTCTGATTTCACTGGATGCACCTCAAGTCGCTCCAAACCTCAGGGACGGAAAATTAACTCAATGATTCTCATTGCATGTTTGGGCGGGTTGTTTATGAAAATGACTCTGATACCATATTTGTTTGAATAATTGAACGTTTCAACTTGTCGTTTGTCTATGCTTTTTTTATGCTTTTTTTATAACTCATTTTGTTTGAGATTTAGTTCTCAATGCTATTCCCCTTTTTTTAATTTTTTATTTATGTCAAAACCGTTGAACTACAATGAGAGATTGTAACAATTCATTGCACCGATGTTTTAGAATTTGGCATGTACCTTTTTTTTTTTTTTTTTTTTTTGTCTACAATTCCTCGTATTCTTGTGCAAACTCTACCGGAAAGTTACAAAATTACATTTTTGTGCAAACTCTACCGGAAAGTTACAAAATTACAATCTTTATTTTTGCATAAAATCACACTGGTCCCCTTTCTTGTGCAATTATGCCTTCAACCTTGTAAAAAATTGTTGTAGCAATTAATAAATTTTGAGGATATATACGGTTAACTCAACAATCCTGTTAGTAATAGGAATAAGATGCCTATGTTTACCTTGAATGATGAATCTTTGAAATCAATCCTGAAGCAAACTTTTATATTAAATATTTATATACATACGGTTTAAAAAAGTATTATACAGCTTTATTTATTTATAGTGTAATCAAGATGATGCCTTCATCCTATAAATCTTGGTTTGTTGCCTAGTTTGCAACAAAATCTGTATATCTTCAAGGCCTTGGTGATCTACCAAAGCTGTTGGAGTCCAACCATGTATATTTGGCTTATCGATGTCAACTCTTTGATCTATGAGAAACTTTATTAACTATTTCAACATTTCTTTCACTGATTGCATTATGAAGTGGAGTCATTCCTTTGCTATTCGGTTGTGTTAAATATCCTCCATGACAAACAATGTCCTTGAGTAAAACCAAACTGTTTGCTCAATTGCAGTAAACTAACCAACATCTCCAGAAGATATAATTGCACCACTTTCTGCTCAAGAATTTTAACCACAGATTCATGCTTCGCTAATATCGCTTCCCATAAAGGAACACTTCTAAATCTGTAAAAAGAAAAGCCACAAATCATTACATCTGCCTTTAATAGCAGAAAAACCATGTTCACATAAAAATAGTCTAGTAAAATCATCACATCATTTTGTCACAGCAGTATACACGACTTCTATACTACTGTGCTAGAACAAACCTTTGATGTTAGGATCTGCTAGATCAAATTGAATTCTTACTACAGCACCAGTGACAAAAAATATAGAAGTTAGAGGGTGCTTCATTCTGCAAAATTACATCTTCTCTAGGAGGAAAATACTCTGCTTTCATCTCAGTTACCTTCAAAATAATAAATAAAATTCACACATTAAGCATACCCAAAAAAAAAAAAAAAAAAAAACACTAATATATCAAGTACCCAAAACCCAAAAGGTTTAAAAAAAATCAAAACTTTTAAAAATCATATGCTGAACTTGTAGTAAGACAATTAGAGCAACGATCTCTTTTGTCTCATGGGACTAAAATACACTACTAAACCATGAGAAGTTTAGAGAACCATGAGATTTAAAGGTGCTTCAACATCAATGTATCTTGAGTTAGAACATTTATCTAATCAAAAGTCCAGTGTAGTACTCTTGAATCATAGTCAAACGGAGGATGTGGAACACCGAATGCATTTTCTCCAGTTGTCAAACGAAAAAAAAAAATCAGAAGTGACAATCAATAAACTTGAAGTCTGCAAGGTAAATGTTTATGTCCATGGTTAGTGTTCCAAGTACTTTCCTGTATATGTTATGCAGAACATAGTACACATTCTTTAACAGGAAAAATGTATCAACAGAAAACTCAATACCTGTTGTTGTTCAATAGAATCTATGGCATCTTGCATACAATTAATCATTGTATCTTTTTATTAAACTTTTAGAATATCAGCAATTAATCATTATATCTTTTTATTAAACCTTTGGAATACCAATACAATAATTAATATATATCCACATCACACATCCTACATGGAATTCCACGTGTATCCTACTGGAATTCTATGTAGAATCCAAATGGCGATCAATAGCAAGGGTTGGCTTCAAGATTATATAGATATATAGATGATATCTAAATCTCATTGAGAAATTTGTTATCCGAAAATAAGAAATGATATTTTATATTTATGATTGACGATTTAGACCAGGTGCAACACAATCCTTCCACAACCAACATAATTAAATCCATTAATTTCAAAACACTTGTCAACATTTATGATTGACAATTCTAGTGAAAAAATAATATGTATATATATCAAACCTAATTAAACTATTAGATTCAAATTAATACCATTTATTTACACATTTTCAATTTGGTTTATTCCTACTTGATTTTAGAAATGAAAAATGGCTGACACATAAGCCTGAGTTTAAATTTACCTCCAAAACCACTTAGTTTGTGACCGGATGATAAGACCTTAGGTTATCTATGAGGTCTTGTGTTTGAGTGCCACCAAATAGTCACCTATCACATTTGTGACTTACTTAGACTTAGCAAACTTTGATCCCTACCTACGGCTCTAGGGGTACCCAGGTAAAACAAGTGGGTATGGGTGCCTATAATAAGTACCCGTACCAAAATTACATGTACCCTACCCGCCTGTGAAAAATACAAGTGGGTCGGGTGATACCTGTGGTACCTACATTTCACTTAAAAAAAACTAAAAACTAAAAATCCTAATTTCCTAATTTCTTCTAGCCAGCGTCCACTCTAGTGCCCAACCATTTCTCCTAAACTAGTGCCCACGCCCACACCTAGCCAACACCAGCAGCTCTCACTCTTAATCTCTTCTCTACTAATTTCCTTACGCAACCATTTCTCTCTCATGCAAGCGCAGCCATCACTCACTCATCACTAAACTATTTCACCCATTTCTCTCTCACGAAGCCATCACCCATCACTGAATCATTTTTCTTCCAAACCATCTCCCTCTCACACAGCCAACAACGCCCAGTCGCCCACGTCCAACAAGCAGCTCTCACTCTCAATCTCTCTCACGCACGCAGCTCTCATTCTCTCTCTCACACAACCAACGCCATTGTTCTCCATTTCTCCTCCACGGCTAAGTTGCAAGTTGATTCTCCGTTTCTCATTCTCTGATCTTTCTCACATTAGTTTGTAACTTTGTGCTATATTTATCTCTTAACTAGTTGTTTTACTTATTGTATCTCCATTTGCAGCCACTGTTCTAAACTCTCTAGTCTCCACCACTGTTGAATGTGACTCTGTTCATTTGGCTGCTAAGTGATGAATCTATTGATTGACAAGTTTTTTTTTGTACT